GGGGGGGGGACACTGTATCAGAAACAGAAATAACTTTTACTATGGACTCTATTAATGTTTTTACTGAAGATTCACTCAGCTTTCCCTTTAACCATTTTTTCTTATCAAATCTTATGCGAAAAAAAGGTGAGAATTGTGTGAATATTGGGTGAAAACTGATAGACCCCTTTGCCCTCACGGGTACAAGGAAATCTGCTGTGTCATGTGTATACAAGGCATATATCTGCAGAACTTGCCTGGCAGTGAAGATCACAATTTGATGGGGCGTATTTACAAAGCAGTGAATCTGACATTCAGCAAACATTCCCTGCAGAAGAATCTTCCAGCTCCATGCGTTTTAAATGACAGCAATTGATTCTCCACCAATGAATGTTTGGTGAAAGGCACACTCTCTTATCTGTCCCTGTAATCCAGCAAAGCTTTGCACCGATTAGGGGATATCCTGTGCCAATTAAATGAATATTTATTTTTACTTAAATGTTAATAAAATTCACATTTGTCCATTTACATTATCTTGTTCATGTCATTATTTTTTTTTAGAAATGTATTGCAGGTGAATGTCATGTGAAACCGTTTGAGAATAGATAATATATGATCTTAGTACGATTGGGGAATTATAAGTCATGCCCTTCAATACACGGTGAATCTGCAACAGCTAGTTTGTGCCAAAAATCCTAATTATTATTATTATTATTATTGGACTAATAAGAATGCCGACATTTTACATCAGCTGCAGTCCTGTGCAGAATTCTGTCCCTCCATACATTAGATCAGCCTTTCTCAAGCAGGGTGCCCCGGCACACTGGGGTGCCATCTGGCTTCTTCAGGGGTGCCTCGAAATTTTGTGATGGCAGGACTCCCGTGTGAAGGGGAAACCGTGATGTAAAGGGGGGCTTCTAAAATGAAAGGGGGATTTCTAATGTTAGGAGAGCTGCTGAGGTGAAGGGTAGGGAGCTTTTAATATGAAAGGGGGGCTACTAATGTGAAAGGGGGGTACTGATGTGAAGGGGGGGTACTGATGTAAAGGG